TCCCGAACACAGCTTTCGTCGCGCACGAGCCCTGCTCGCAATGCGGGAAGGTAGTGCAGATGCCGCAGCCATCTTCCTGCGACCAAGTGGTCTGCCAGCCTTACATCGCGACGGATCGGAAATAATGGTTGACGTGCAAATGCGAGTTGTGAAGAGCGAAAAGTCACCCCGATTTGATGAGAACGTCATTGAAGAGGAAGATGGGTCATCGAAACCAAACAAGGGTCCAGAGCTGGTCTACGCTTTGTGGATAACATACTCCAGGCAACTGCACGCTGCGAACCACGGTATCGGTCCAGTGACTCCCCTTATGTCACGGCCACCCTCACCCCGCCAACCAGAGCCAGGCCAGTCCAGTTTCTCCGTGCCACAAGAACCCGAATCACATCAATCGCAAGGAACACCGCCTACAGTTTCACTCCTCACACAGCAGATTCAAGAAGCCATGCGGCCTAATACTCCGCAACAATCTCAGAAAGGAGCCATGGCACCGCCGCCAGCACCTGCACAGGATGAGCCATCCCAGAAGAAGACTATCAACGATTTTGTAGTGTTGGAGGATATGGGCCAAGGCGCCTATGGGCAAGTCAAGCTATGTCGATACAAGAAGAACAGCAACAAGAAGGTTGTGATCAAGTATGTTACGAAGCGGCGCATCTTGGTCGACACATGGACACGAGACCGAAGGCTTGGAACTGTGCCGCTCGAGATTCACGTCCTGGACTATCTCCGCCGCGACGGCTTTAAACACCCTAACATTGTGGAAATGGCCGATTTCTTCGAGGATGACATCAACTACTACATCGAGATGATACCACACGGTCTACCGGGCATGGACCTCTTCGACTATATTGAGCTACGAGTCAACATGGAAGAGAAAGAGTGCCGTAAGATTTTTGTTCAGGTCGCAGAAGCGGTACATCATCTGCACACTAAAGCGAAGGTCGTGCATCGGGACATCAAGGATGAGAACGTCGTCCTCGACGGTGAAGGCAACATCAAGCTCATCGACTTTGGAAGCGCAGCGTACATCAAAAGCGGACCCTTTGACGTCTTTGTAGGCACGATTGGTATGTTTCCCGTCGCTCTTGAATCCTTATGATCATACTAACGCTCGTCAGACTACGCTGCCCCAGAAGTCTTAGCTGGAAAAGCCTACCGCGGTAAAGAACAAGACGTCTGGGCCCTTGGCATCCTCCTTTACACCATCATATACAAAGAAAACCCCTTCTACTCCATCGATGAGATCATGGATCATGATCTCCGCGTACCGTGGGTCATGTCGGAAGAGAGCATCGATCTTGTGCGACTGATGCTAGATCGAAATGTGGAGAAAAGGATTACCATCAGCATGGTGCTCGAGCACCCTTGGTGCAAGGGCGCTGGTGCTGGCAGTGGTGTGGTTGGAGAAGCTGCCTGAGGACTAAAACGGATGGGAACGAATATATGGAACGACTTTACGATCTTTTGCATGCGGCTGGACTAGGACTGGTTATGGGATGGATAAGGTCAGGCGCACTGCTATAGAGCGCTTCTCCTTCTACTTCGAGTTACACACATTGTTCGCAAAATTGCGCCATAGCATTACGGCATTGTTTGGTAGGGCGAGAGATGGAAAAAATGAATACCCAAGATTTTTGTTTTCGTATATTGTTGTTTGACAGGGATTGTTCTGTCTGGAACATGCCCAGGTGGTGACGCGATAGCCCCCGGCGCCAATTCGCGGGAGGCTGCTTCCTTCCCCGTGATGACGTCTGGTATCGGCGACGGGCGACTCCTCACCACGACCTCGAACGGATCTCATTCATGACACTAGATGCACTCGCGCAAACAGGAGTTCCATGGTCCGTCACACTGGTCACAAATAGTGCATACCGCCTGTCTGGATGCTTCCTGATGCGCACCGCCATTCCATGTCAGCGCCACGCTCAGTATAGCGTGGCAAGCAAACAGTACAACCCTCGATGTACTCAGCCTCAGGCGAGGCTGAGGTACCTATCCTCCCTGTCCCGACAACGACAGGCCTCGAGCCAATAGCAAGGCAATGCCACAGTCGTGCCACACGTTAGGCGTCCAGCCCAAGCCACGAACACCCTGTATCTCAGAATAGATCGAGTGGTTGTCCTCGCGCGTCGTCGCGGAACGTGTTTAGTTATTTCTACCCGCGGTCCACTTCCCACGCTCCATTGACGGTATCGCGATAGATACTTGGCGTCCAGACGTTGGTTTGACGCACCTAACATTAGTGTAGTGCTTCAACACGATGTTATCCCAACCGCCTAAGAGTAAGGCCGCTAGTATATGGTCTGTTGATTCGGGGTACGGATCAGGCACATTGGAAGATGATGAAAGGTTGCAGGTACAATTGTGCGCAATGTTGTGTGTTGCGCAATTATTAACGCTGAGCAGATTGACCGGGCCGGAAGCTCCACGATCCATAGAACGTTGCCTACATCCCCCAACCAGTCCGATCAGTCAAATGTTGGCGGACCTGTGGCCCTTGAACTGGGAGACGAGATTCGCGCAAGAGCAATCACCAACTCGACTGAGCCTCTTGCTACGGGAGTCGACGTGTTCACGGCGAAAGTTCGCACTAGTAACGAATCGTTGGTGCCGACGCAGAGTGATGGTATCGATTGCCTCCGATGTCAGCTTTGGAACATCATCAACTCCGACGGGAACATTAGATGCGACGACTGCACGGTTGAAGGGTTTGAGACGCTTGAACTTGTCATAGGAGCTGCTGAACTACCGAAGACGACGGCTGCGGCACTTCGACATGACGTTTTGAAGGTGACTCCGTCGGAAAACTTCTCCCAACCCAAGAGTACCGGGCGATGCTCTGCGTGTGAGATCTCGGCACTTATTCACCCAGGCCAGCCCGCCAACTGTGCTTCTTGCACCCTAAACACGGGCTTGCTGTCTCCAACTCCGTCAGACCAGCCATCAAAGGTCAAACGTTCTTGCGCCCGACGGCCACCCACCAAGCTCGAGTCGCATGCGACACGATGTCTGCAAGGATGGCTGAAAGAACACCGAAACGATCCGTATCCAGATACCGAGACCAAGCGTTCACTAGCCGAAAAATGTGGTATCACTGAGAAGCAGGTCAACACCTGGTTTACTAATGCGCGAGCGCGAAAAAGGGTCGTTGGTGCGAAATCATCTAACCCGGCCTCGGGAGATGAAGGGGCTCGGAATACTCGACTTTCTAGCGTAATATCCACGGCACTGTCGCACCGGGGCACCTCATCAGGCTTCGAGGCACCATCTAATCGTCGGTATTCTGTCGCGTCTCATTACGCAGGTGACGACCCTAGTCACACAAACACAACCACATCTAGGCGAGGCAAGAAGAAGGATTATGGCCAGTCTGTCAACGTACCTACTTCGGTCTCCAAAGCGCAATCGTTGCCATCCAAATCACAACTTCTATCTACCGATGATGTCGATAGCGAATCGCAGACGTGGCAGTGCACCTTTTGCTACCAACATATCGCGCGCAAATCTTGGCGCCGCCATGAGGAGACCCAGCATCGACCGAAACGAAAGTGGACATGCTTGCACACTGGCCCTAGCATCACAACTTCTTCTCGATCGGATGCGTCTACGTCTTGTGTATTCTGCATGGCAGCGAACCCCAGCGACAAGCACTTTGCCGAATGCCACCGCATAGCTGAGTGCATGGCCAAGGATGAAAATGAAAGAACGTTTCTGCGACCCGATCACCTGCGTCAGCACATCAAAAACTTCCACAAAGCGAAGTTAGATGAGACCATTCGCGATCTTTGGAGACGAGAGGGCCCAGATGGCCATGCCGTAGAGAACTGGGTCTGCGGTTTCTGCGCAAAGGTGCTGAAGACTTGGGACGATCGTGAGACGCACATAGCGTCCCACTTCAAAGACGGATTGACAATGGCGGACTGGAAAGGGAACACAAGACAGGATGCTGAGGCGAGCAAGAAGAGGCCAACTTCGAGCGAAGGACGTCCGAATGTGCTCTCGAAGTTGGCACGGACGCTTACCTTCCGATCATCGCGTGAGCAGCACCACTACGAGTCGGAAATTCAGGCCGCCGACGCTTTCGATACTGCACTGGAGTTTACCCACGCGCCTTGGTTGGATGCACCTCTGTTGCCGGAACTTGTCTTCGACGACTTCATGGCAGGCGTTGGTGACGGCGATTTCAATTACAGCGATACGATCCTTGCTGGCGCGTATGGGCACGACTTTGCTTCTGCTGAACGGCACGATTCCGCATTTCCAGACGAAGAAAATGTGGGGTTTGACTTTGGCGATCTGGCGGATGGGTTCGTCAATCAAGAGTTTGAGAACGGGGATGCCTTTGGGCTTTGGTATCAGTAGTCAAAGGAATATTTGATATACGCTTCTCCTGGATAGTGCGAGACAGGCCTGGCCTACTCAAAGCGCTTCACCTGCATCCATGATATGACTAGATGAGGTTCGTTGAGCTAAGCACTCATTACAGGTTATGACGTCATGTTCCTCATCGGAAGAGCTGTGTTTGGTTCAGGGGCCTGAGTCAAACCAAGGCTGATTCTTCTCACGGAACATCGGTATGAAGCTCTACTGTGGGGCTGCGGCCGCTGCCGCTTCTGTCATCTAATCCTTGTTCATAATCGAAGACACCTTTGCTGTCTGCGCCATTTCCGCAATTATGGACGAAGTCCCATCGTCTTACACATTCGGATGTGAAGTGTCGTGATGACTGGCTTGTACCATGATCGCGCATGAGTCACTATCTGAGTGTGTCTCCCAAGGGTAGCGTTCCGCGATCTTACAGTCGCGGTCCATGGTTCTCGGCGCCTTGCCTACGTGATTTGCACAAGAGTCATCAACTTCGAACACATCAGGAGACCTAACCGATTTGTATAAAGCAAGGTCGCTCGTTAATTGTACGCCAGAAATCTATCGCCATGGCTACTAAACCTGTTGCTAGGCCTTCTAACAAGTTTGCGCATTGGAACACGTTCCCGTTTATGACCGCGCCAAGAACGAGATACTACTCCGCTCAACTCCAGTCGCCAATCTTTCGCCTTCCTCGGGAGGTCCGCGATGTTATTTACGAATACTACCTTCTCGAGCAGGACGGTTACCATTACGATAGCGAGATGGGCAAACTATTGTACCAGAACCCGTCGATAACGCCTAAGCAAGTCGTGCGGATAGGGCTGCGAATAACATGTCGCATCGCCGCAGAAGAGATGAAAAATATTGCGTTCAGAAAGATACAATTCTACCCTAAGCCTTCAGACGATGACGGGGGCGAATATATGAAAGTGCGTTCACGGGCAGGCCGCTTCAGATGCTGTAAGTGCCATTTTAATATAAGAGCTTCCTCATACGGATCTAACAAAGCCGCAGTGCTGAAATACGTTGAAAGGCAAAAGTGTCGCATGCTGGTGTGCGCTGCCGAGTTACTGCAAACCGAGGACTTCACCGACATATACAATCGTTACCCTTCGGTGGAATACTGGTTTCGCGTACCATTGCGGCGGGCGATCGCGCGTCAAACGGACGAGCTTAGCCCGTCGACAGACGAAGATGTCCGCAGCCAAGCTTTCAGCGATGCTCTTCAACATGCGTTGGTACTAGCAAAGAATCGACATCCGTCGAAGTTCGCCAAGCTAGTGAGTCCGACGTTCGGCTTAGGTGACTGTCCTATTGGCAGTGTTGGGTTAGGCATGGTGCAGAATAACCTCTTCGTAGAGGGAGCACTATCCGATATATACCATTGGCACCCTGCACCATGGTGTATGCCAAGTGAACAAGAACTCTCGAGGCTAGAGGCCCTCATCTGCCAGCCTGGCAACTCAGATACCTGCCTTCCTATCACGAAAGACGGCATCTTCTATTACGAAGACATCAGAGACCACTTCGACGCAGCGAAAAGCCGTTGGTACTTCTCTGCTGCTGCAGTGGCAATCGACTTCTGTAAGCGCAGTTCAACTTTCGGAATTGTGTTTACCTACATGGTTTCGGGCCCTAGTGATTGATACTTGGAGCTGTTTGCTGATCTCAATACAGTACATCGTCTGCCAAAAGAGCGCAGATGCAATTTGCGATCCATCGTGCTCAACGAAGACGTCAAGGCCGTATCCCGCTCAGAGTGTCACGCGCGAGGACTGATCACATTTTGTCTCGAGAATTCTTCTCTTCTTGTCAAGAGACATATCGGCCTCCTAACAAACCTACTTCCAGTGGAATCCTCGGAGATATCGGCTGATCGACACGCTTGCATCTTTACCGAGGATTGCTTCGAAGCTCTGGTCCCCTGGATTGAGGACGCATTGTTGTTACCCTCGCACGGAATGCCGGAGCAATCTTTCCAGCTTCTTGTTGACGGTGTCGCCCGAGAATCTAAGGAATTCTGGCACATGCTCAAATACGCCGCAGCCACGCAGGAAGCTCGACAGAGACAAGTCCTGCTGAGTGGCATACCCTTACCACCCAGAATTACTCCGCCGGATTATCACAACATCTATACTGTCTTTAGCTTTCCGGTCGACTTCGCGCAGTCGATTCGCGACATCGCTCAAGAAAACTCACTTGTGCGATACAATGGGGATGCGGGTGAGCTGTGGGATCTAGACACCTTCTGCTTTGAAACGAGGAACTGGACATTGGAGCAATGGGAGTCGGATTGGAACGAGAAGATCAACTTGGTTATTGCTTCACGATTTTGGCTATATGTGTGGGATAGGTATGACATTGACACAACTGGAGCACCTGGGTCAAGGAATGCCTAGTGGATGTGGGAGCTCCTTTCTTTGTGCCTTGGATTTGATGAGGCAATTGTAATCTTTTGGCAAAGAAACCGCTCCATGATCAAGCGCATGCCAGTGTCGCTTATCGTCTCTATATTCTCGCCTCTGTATGCAACCGTAATAATAGTCTAATAGCATGAAAGCTCTCCGTAAAACGCTTGTTATCTCGCATGAGCAGCACCTCAACCTGGAACCAATCCACAGTGTGGCGAATCAAAGTAGTCGTGCACATACTTTACAGGATGATCATAAATCATCATGAGCATTGCTTTGTTCAGACAACCTGTATGCAAGCTTCGGGATCTTTCTTTGTCAAAGGCACGAGGCCATAGTGCCGCGTACTGAAGTAAAGCGTTAAGTGCGATGTGCCTATGTACCTAGCCTACTACAACCCGAAACAATTTCAACGATGCGCATTGGTGCACATCTTTGCGCAATACTCCCCGAGAGACTGAGTCATAGCGTACCAGCCAAATTCATAGATTCTTTAGTCATCTAAGACGAACCATACACTACTCGAGCAGCCACGTGGTACCCTGACTCCGATCCAAATTAACAGCGTGCTTGCGACTCATCCCAATCAAGCCTGTGTGAGTCAAGGTATGAAGATATTCAAACCGAGAGTCATCGTCTCGACTTTACAGTATATAGGAAGCAGCATCTGTAGCATATTTCATTCATCAAACATGTCGGACAAAACGCCGACTACGCGTTTCGCGCACTGGAACAAATGGCCGTTCATTAACGTGAGATCGAATCAACTTCAATCGCCCTTCTTCCGATTGTCACGCGAGATCCGAGACAAGATCTACGATTACTACGTCGTCGCCGAGAATGGCTACTTCTACAACCCGGAAACGCGGAAGATGATGGATGGCCACCCCTCGTCCACAACGCCAAAACCACAGGTTGTCAACATCAACTTGATAAGGACTTGTAAGATCGCGGCCACTGAGATGAAAGGTTTGGCTTTCGAGCGTAATGAGCTCATCTTTCATGCTATGTGCTCCGTGGACGACGGACATGGGTACATGAATCTCAACTCAAGGGCTGGGCGCTTCAAAACTCGTACGTATACTCCGAGTGTGAAAAGTGCCTTACCAACTGTGGTTCTTTAGACTGACTTTCAGATGGTAGTTCTCAAGTGTCGCCAAATCCAGAGAGTCCGTATGCTCGTTTGCACTGCCTCATTACTAACGACAGCCGACTACGCGACACTTGCTCAAGAGTACCAAGACTTTGCGTTTTGGTTTGATGGCCCCTTTGGCTGGGCTGTCAGAGCACGCACAGATGGGTTGAAGATGGAAGAGATGAACAATCATATCGACTCTTTGTTTGCGAATGGAGACTTCGATAAAGCTCTTCAACTTGCACTTGAACTCGCCAAGGCTCGCAATCCTTTTGCTTTCGCAAGACATGCTGTGCAGACCTTTGGAAATCAGTATCCTCAGGATCTTCGTGCCTCACATGAACCAAAACGGGGAAATCTTTTTTCCGAGGGATCTTTGTGTGAGATTCTCGGATGGAAGCCTGAGACATGGCATATACCATGCCATGAGGAACTTGCGTCTATCGAAGCGCTATTATCGATCAGAGCCGTGGGAGGCATGCATACCTTCTATTGCGCACGGAATACTAAGTGGTACTTCTCCGCTACAGCAGTAGCTATTCAATACTGTAAGTTTCATTTCAAATGCTGCCAAATGTCTCTGACGCTGCTGCACAGTGGAAACGATGAATCCAAGAGTGCGTATGTTACTACGCAAGATCGTGATAAGAGAAGACTTCAAAAGCGTTTCAAATCCAGAACTCCACGCCCAAGGTCTCATTCCCTTCTGTCGCGAGAACATGAACCTCCGGATTACTCGACACGTCAGTCTTTTCAAATCTATGCTTCCGGTGCATTCCGGCGGGCAAGACGACCGACGAAGCGAATACTACGACTGTGATGTTATCCAGGGCGCGGAATGTCTGGAAGCGATGAAACACTGGATACAAGCAGTATCTTCACTCCACACACTTGGAATGCCGAAAGAGAGCTTCTCACTGTTCTTCGACAACAGTGTGACGGAAGGCGACTGGGTCTGGAATGCGGTCATGCGCGCAAGAGCCCTGCAAGAAGTCTCTAGAGAATGGCTTCGCGCACCCCATAATCATCCCAGGCCCTACAATGGTACAGGGTTGAGTCCCTATCAAACCTTGTTAAACCTCCCATCAACATTTGAGGCCAATGTTCGGAGCATCGCAGAAGGAAACTCAATCATGCGGCTGACGTCGGGCATGAGCTCAGTTGAGATTGAAGCCACAGCTCTGAACTTGGAGCACTACAAGCACTTCACCGCTGAAGCCTGGGAGGATCATTGGCACGTGACAGTGCTGTGCCCGAGCTTGAACACGGACTTCTGGAGACGTTTACATCCGAGATACAGCATCGAGCCGGCGGGCTTCAAGAGGGTAGTAACAACGGTCAGGAGGATGTGTGGACGGGCGCTGAGCAACGATGAGTCGACGGAATCGGTTGGACGGTAGGAATTGTTTCTGGCAGCATATCGGTGGATTGATGGAGAAGGGGAAGTACGGCCGTCATGGCACGTCATTGGGGAGGCGGGTCGTCGTATTAGCTGCGCTGCGGCCAACATGGATTTGAAATATGGTATTGATTGAGACCTGATACCTTCAGATCACAAATCCCTCTACGGGAAGCAAGAGAACTATAGCGCGAGCCATATTCCTGAAAGCTATACTATAAGCTGCTTTGCCCCGTTGTCACAATGTATAGGTCTGCCTTCCTCTCCGTCAAGGGCGTGTCGTGCCGTGAGCCCGAGTTGGTGGTATGCTATGAATGCTTGGGTACGCCGTAATCGGGTTGCGCGTTTTCGACCGGCTGTACGCAGGCCGCGATGCTGGAGGGCGAGGGATGTGGATGGCGTGCGGGGCTTATTATGCGTGGACAACGTTCTTGTCTTCGTCGAGGTTCAAGGGTGGGTTCGGGCGACAGCCATCGCTGAGATTGCGCGCGGTCTGCAAGAGCGCTTGCAATGTGAGTCTCTGGGGTTTCGACGAGTCTACCTAGGAACGTTTGAAAAATCAGACCCAACAAGCGAGTGAGGTCATAGCTGAAGAGGTTGTGGAAGAGTGAGCCTCGATGTTTCGCCTGGGTGGTGGAGCTCCGTGCTCCTGAGGAGGCTGGGCACCAGGCTCGCGCCAACCGGTCCGCGCCAGACCGACCATCCATCTGTTCGTTCGCGTCGCATAGAATCACTACCACCCAACAATTACAGCTCTGCTCTTAATGGACATGTCACTCATACTATGCACTCAACCCCGCGATCACTAATGAGTCGTTGCACTGAGACTGAACGGTGCCCAGGTGATCAGCCAATGAATCCGCTTACGACCAGCAAGCCACAGTTTGGTACCATGGTGCATCCTTCTTGGGAGTCATCGGCAAAAGGCCAGAGGCAGTATGACGAAAACTGCGCCCTCACCTTATAAGATGCTGAGCAGTCGCATTCAACATCTGTATGGCAATCAATACACCAAAGATGGCTTTCAATAAGAGAGGCTCCAGCAACTTCGCGCACTGGAACATGTTCCCATTCATGACAACACCGAAGACAAAGTACATTCTTGGACAGACACAGTCGCCATTCTTCGGTCTTCCACGCGAAATACGGGATACCATCTACGAGTACTATGCCCAGGGTCGACCACAGTATGTGTACGACAAGAATACGACAAAGCTACGTTACTCCCATGCTTCAGCTCAGGCGGAGGGTCTCGGGCTTATGATGACCTGCAAGATCGCTGCAGACGAGATGATGCATGTCGCTTTCCAGAACATCGAGTTTAGTACGCTTTGCTCTGCGAACGATGGCGCGGAATTCCAACAACTCCGGTCTAGAGTGGCGCGATTCTCTCAGTGTAAGTGCTACGTTTGGCGATGAGATAACATTGCAGGGCTGATTCATTCATCAGTGTTCGAAATGGTTCAAACCCAGAGGCAATACATGCTGATTTGCGTTGCCGAGCTACTCGAGGAGTCAGACTTTGCTAATGCTATGGCACGGTTCCCAGTGATCGAAGATTCCTTTGGGAGGCCTCTGCAAGAAGCAGTTGCGCAAAATCTGGAAAAGCTTTCCGGTAATATGGCCATAAGCCTGGACGACCACACTAGCCAAGACTTCATCGACGCCCTAGTCTTCATACTGGACATCGCGAGGGATCGAAATCCGACAAAGTTTGTGCAGCTTACACGACAGGTGTTTGGGAACAACATGTGTCCTATTGAGAACCTTCATGGTAGCGCTCAAAACAATATCTTTGTCGAAGGGTCATTGCACGATGTATTTTCGTGGAGACCGGAATCATGGTAAGAACTCCGGAGTGTGAATTAGCTGTCTGACAAATACTCATCCAATGCATCGATACTTTAGGTCAATCCCCACAGATGATGAGCTTTCCAGAATGGAAAAACTTGTCTGTGAACCGGAAGAAGATGGGACACTGCTCTACGAATGGTGCCATGTGACGAATCCTATCCGACTGAGCAACAATAAGTACTACTTCTCTGCCGCAGCGGTAGCGATTGACTTTCGTAAGTTCACCATTCATATTGTGAGCTGGAAAGACCAGTCATATGTCCTGTTTTGTACTCAAACGGGGATATTTCTGTTAACATCCGAGCAGTCAGTCACATTCCCCAGAAGCGCTTGAACAATCTGCGCAAGCTCATTCTCTGCGAAGACTTCAAGTCCAGGCCCCGATCTGTTTGCCACGCAAGGGGTCTCATTCCTATATGCAAAGCAAACCCCGGGCTTCGGATTGAGAGACGCGTCGATCTGTTGACCAGTCTTCTACCTGCAAGCCATCCTACTGGTTGTCTGGTAGGGATTGGCACCTTAGGTGGTCATACAGTCATGGGAGCCGCTGTTCCATGGTTCACCGAAATCTCACTACTCCGCACTCACGGCATGCCCGAAGGCTCCTTCCAGCTCGTCATCGATGGTACATCGCGAGAAGCTGTCGAGGTGTGGAACGTTATCAAGCACGCGGCAGCCATGCAAGGAGCCATGCTCGAACAATGTCGCGTTCGCAACACGCAGCCAACGTCTAGGCTATATGATAGCATAGCTGGTCGCATCTATGGCCCCAGAGCTTTACCATGGCATCTGCCAGACGGCTTCTCCGACACGATCCGCCGCACAATCGAGGGCACGACCAACATAACATTCACCGGAGATATGGGTGAATTATGGGATGAGGACGTCTTCTATTTCCAACGAAGAGACTGGACACTAGATCAGTGGCGTCATGAGTGGTATAATGAGATTATCGTCAAGAGCATCGATACGGGTTTCTGGAAGCGATCTAACGCTTGGTATCAGATAGACCCTCGAGGCTTCGGTCAGGTTTATCGGACAGTCTACAAGGGTGAGGTCATTCGCAGCAGCGACCGACCGTTGTAACGGTACTCGCAGACCTGGGCAGCGTTGGACGGCGGACTACAAATGTAGCGTGACGTAGTTCGCGTGAGCAACTACAACGATCATTACAGGCTCTGTCAGGGAAGCCAATGAATACAACTTATTCCATGCGACTCTTCTTATAGCAACCTCCAAGTGCATATGATGATTGACATACTTTGTCATTTCTAGGGTAGCGCGCCACGCCCGCCTCGCTTGCAGCGCAATGCGCGAGCGTCTAGCCAGGAACCAAAGACCTGCCCCTCCAAAAACATTACCAACCTTATTCTCTGCCACAGCGTCGCATCACCCACGTCTCCTGCACTCACTGCAGTCGCTCCTTCCTCCTCGATCCCTCACTCAATGACCGCACCCACGCACCTCGACCCCAGCGAACTGGGCACCAAATCCTACTGGGACGCCGCGTACAACACCGAGCGCCAGAACTTTGCCGCAAACGCCGACGACGAAGGAACAATATGGTTCAGCGACGCGGGCGCCGAAGAGCGCATGTTATCTTTCCTTGAAGACCTCAGCGACGAGGGCCACATACACAAAGAGGGCGATGGGGATGACAACAAAGCGGCGCGGTTCCTGGACCTGGGAACAGGCAATGGGCATTTGCTGTTTGCGCTGCGCGAGGACGAGTGGAACGGCGAGATGGTCGGTGTCGACTACTCTGCGCAGAGCGTCACGCTTGCCACGTCGATTCGCGACGCGAAGGATGACTCTTACAAGGACATCGCATTCCACGAGTGGGATATTCTGTCGCAAGCACCGGGCGCGTGGCTAGGCGCTGGCTTCGATGTCGTACTGGACAAGGGCACATTTGACGCCATCTGCCTGTCGCAAGAAGAGGACGCGCAAGGTCGAAGGATCTGCGAAGGATACAGGGAAAAGGTTGAGCCTCTTATGAAGAAGGGCGGCAGATTCCTCATCACGAGCTGCAATTGGACCGAAGAAGAGCTCAAGGGCTGGTTTGGAGGCGGAGAGCTGAAGTTTGAGGGCAAGGTCAAGTATCCCAGCTTCACGTTTGGAGGCAAGACGGGCAGCAGTGTTGTTACGCTGTGCTTCAAGAGGGTGTGATTCAGCGCTTCGTCTGCTGAGAGGAAGAACTACTACCATTACTACTGCCGAACAGCCCGCCGTATCCGCGCGAGAACGAGCCATTTCTTCCGCTCGCCCATGTTCTCTGTACCGCCATCGCGCTCTTTCGCCCATGACCGCTGCTGGCCGTTGACGTCCATCTCGTATATCTCCTCGATCTCGAGCCCTTGCTCCGGTATCACCTCCTCGAAGAACGGTGCGACTTTGGCGCGTCCTGTGTGGAAGCCTGCGATACAATATATACGTGCGGATGGGTCGTCGGATAGGAAGTGCAGCATCGACTTGGCCAGGCTCTCGTGCTCCCATGGCATCCAGAGACAATCTGCAGCGAGAATGCGCGTGTAGCGGTTCGCGTGCGAGGTCTCGAAGGGTGTGCTTATAGAGCCCCATTGATGACCTTCGACGGTCACGTTGGGCTTGAGATGCTCTGGGACGTTTTTCGCGACGTTCGTTCTGAGGGTATCGAGGATAGGAGCGGCAGGATAGTCGGTGATGGCGACCTAGCGCATTGTCAGTTGGAGCCTATGCAAAATCCGAGTCTGAGCATGGACGTACCTCTTTCGCGCCCGCCAATGTACTCAGAATCCCGCCCAATCCTACGCCTGCGAGCAAATAGTCCATCAGTACTCTTTTCAACACCTCTCTTTACTCAGCCCGACCCACCTGCACCCAACTCCAACACCGTCTCGCCCTCCACGCCCCACTTCTTCTCCTCTTCTTTGTCTGTCCACCAATTGCCATCTCTCCAGCCCTCCTCATCCTCGTGCAGCCCCTTGCCACTGGCACCTAGATCGCCGCCCTCCACTCGCCCGCTGACCAGTTCTGCCATCATGACGCCGGCATTCCACAGGTAGTGCGCAAACTTTCTTCTTTCTTCTTCGCCGTTCACATCCGCGACCCTGATCTCCTGCTCTCCGAACTTGGCGTTGCGGTACAAAATGACAGTGCTCGGATCGTCGCCATGCTGGTTCTGTGTATCGTCGGTGAAGATGCCGCCGAGGGAGGACCCAAAGATGTCTTCAGGCTCGAGTGGCGTGTTGGCTGGGCGGCGGAGGTTGATCAGCGAAGGAAGTAGCATCGTGAGGGTCGGTGGACGGCGGTCTGGTAGGGCGCGGGCTGGGATCCTTTCTTAGACGGGCTGAAGGATTGTCGCACGACGCCATGATGCGCAATGGAGGGGCTCGCGAAATCTTTAGCGGGGCAGACGCGCCAGGCTGCGGTTGGAATAGCGCACGGGTAGCATGCAGGGTCACCGCATGGCTCCGACATGTCGTGAGATCATCATTTGCCGAGGCTGCTGCTCGTGGCGCTCTGAAACGCCGAGTTTCCTGCTCACTCCTACTCTCCTCTTCATTGACAACACGATTGACTGACTGACAAGCCACAATCACCAATATGTCATTTTCCTCCTTCAAGAATCCCGCTACATACCATCTACTCAGGTACCAAGCTACCTTACCAGCTCTCGACGCTCAAAATCCTCTAACAGAAGCATAGCTATGGCACCCTCCTGGGCTCAACGCTCTTCCAGTCCTTCGTCTCAGGCATCGTAGCCTTCCGCGTCCTCCCTCGCCCTCAATTCTCCACGCTCCAGAAGCACACCTTCCCCGTCTACTTCACGCTACAAACCCTCACTCCCGTCGTCATGCTGCTCACATACCCTCGCGGCGGAGCATCGTCCCTACTACCGTTCCTCTCTTCCTCGCCCATCCCGCCGACAGCAACCGATAACTTGAGCTCCTGGCTGCACACCACAATGTTTCTCACCGCGCTTGTCAACTGGGTCTACGTTGGACCCAAGACAACAGAGGTCATGGGTCTGAGGAAGCATCAGGAGACGAGGGATGGGAAGAAGAGTTATGATGCTGGGCCACATAGTAAGGAGATGCAGGCCTTGAACAAGCAGTTCGGCATCCTGCACGGTGTCAGCAGTCTGGTCAACATGGTTGGATTAGGAGCTATGATCTGGTACGGTGCAGTGCTGGCTGATGGGCTGAGCTTGTAGAGTTCCGAGGACGCTGTATATACTAGGCGGAATGGCCTGTGGACGAGACAACGATGTAAATAAGAAGCGTGTGCTGCCTATACGTGAAGAGGAGGATGGTGAAGAAACCGACAAAGTACTAGCTACCTCGATACTCAGGCATACGATGGTGCAATCGCATCATTGAATCATGAGCACATGGCGCCTCTAGTTCATCATACCACAAACGCCACGTTTTGACACCAGCAGCTATATACTCACCCTCCCTCTGTACGACCCAATGTCCTTACTTTACGGTCTGTCTCATTCGCTGCGCCATGGCGATAACATTGCTAGAACTGAGCTCAGCCAGACCCTCAAGCTTCAACACCGACGCACCAACGAAAGCTCACAAAGACGAAACAAGAGATGGCCCGGAAGCAGTACAGTACCGACAACTCATCTCCCGAGCTGTAACGCAGCGTCTGCATTCGCCATCCCTCGATGACCTCAGTAAGACCAAGGCGGGCGTCGCACCTGTACATTCCTTAGAAGAATGGGAGCTGCAAGAGCGCTGTATCGCACGGAGTAAAGCCCGGATTGAGGCCGAAGAGCTGGGTATCCCATGGAGTAAGACCGTCCATCTTCGCGCATGCACCCATTCGCCTCATCCGATATGCATGACAAGATCTGACAGCTAATAGCACAATTGGTCCACGATGTCGAAAGCACCACTCTGCAAGTCCACGTCCTCACCCCAACTCGGTACGAAGTACCGCCGAGAAACATAAACAAGAACCAAGAGGCGACTAAACAGAACGAGGAGATGAAATACACGTTTGGCGACTCCGAAGATGCAGCGCGTGATGAAGAGTGGAAGACAAAAGACGCTGCTGTATACAACATGTTGAAAGCGTTTCGGGGCGCGCGTTCAGGTCGCTGAGTAGGACCGCCCAGCTTCGCTTGATTGGGATGTTTTTGTGAGAGCTGGAATGCGACACAGTCCTCTGCCTACCGTGATGGCACTCTAATGCTGATAGTACATTTTGGATTGCTGTTTTCCGTCAAGATGCGCGGTGTATCCATTCGCCAAGTGGAGGTGCATGGTGGTTGGCCATCATGGTTCGCGGGTAATTGGTGTCTTATATTAAGCTTAAATGATCGTGGTACTGCAAACACGGCTTGTTCATCGTTCAGTTTTAAGTTTTTCAAGTCGAAAGCGTTATCAAACATGGTGTATCCAGCTGCGAGGATCTTGAGGTCTCTAACCATTACATTAGCTTCTACAGGGCTGGTGCTCAGCAACCCCATTTCGAGTCCCAGAACATCTTCAGAGACTAGGGACGTCAGTCGCAACAAACCATTGCTACAGGACTTCGATGCTCTTGGAGCATGGTTCGACGGTGTCGCGGCGATCAACACAACCACGTCTGCGGCCTCATCCAAGAAGAACGCGACCATCGCGATAGTCGGCGCCGGAATCTCTGGTCTCGCTACGGCACTGATGCTTGACAGTGTGGGTGTGCACAACTGGGAGATCATCGAGGCAAGCGACCGGGTCGGAGGACGGTTCCGCACCAAGTACGTTGGTGGAACGCAAGAATGGGCGGAGATGGGTCCTATGCGCCTTCCTCACTCGATTACATACAAAGATGGAGAGACGATCGAATACAGCGATCATCAAATGGTATTCCAGCTGGCCGAGATGCTCAATGAGAAGAACGCAAACGATCCGCATCACAAGGTCGACTTCATCCCATGGGTTCAGCATCATCCCAATGAGATCCTCGGCCTAGGAACTGGCAGACTTCCAAATGGGCAACTTCCAACACGAGCGGAGATCCAAGCAAACTCGTCTCTTGGGCGACCAGCACCACTGGACACGCAGGAGTACACCGAAACCAAGCAGCGCATGAACGAGCTTTTGAAGTCA